GTAGGGGCGCCGGATACTAGCGGTTATGTTGCACACCCCTTGTGCGGGGGCTGTAGTCCTTGTTGCGGCTGCCCTTTGCTGCATGTCATCCCCCCTACTCTCTCCTCCCTGCGTTTCCTGTCTAATAAAGTCATAAAGGCCCAAAAAATAATATTTAAAAAAAAGAATTTGGTGTGTACTAGATTGCTTGCAGCCACCATCTGCTTGAACCAAACAACAAACCCAGAGGGAGATTGACTTCACTCTCTTTTAAGGAAGTCATTAAGACTTACATTAGAAGTATTCAGAGTTTGAGATTATTTTTGTTGTTTGCTATCAGAAGTCAAATATCAGCTGTGTTTTTGTCTACATGCTGATGCTCTGGTATTTTCTGCCTGCCGTCAGTCATCTTTTCTGTCTCAGTTCAGATCCTTTTCCCTCTGCCATGTAGTATATCCTGTGTACTCTATGGACTTGTGTAGTGCTCGAGTTTCAACCCCAACGGCAGCCTCTGGTTTGAGAAATTAAAGCCAATGTGGAAGAGCAAAAAAACTGCAGTTCCTCGAGTGTCCACTTGAGGCCAAGAAATCTCCATTAGGTCCCATTTTCAAATTCCTGATTTCTACAGGAGAAAAAAACATTCTTTCAGCCTGTTTCAAAAAACAAATTTGTATCAATAGCTAATGTCTTTATTGCTACATACTGTAATAACTCATCTGTTTTGATTGTATTACTTTATTTTACTTTTGAGCCCAAGAGTCATTCAGAAAGTTTCATATTAGTGGTGCAGATGGCCTAGCGGATAGCTTGTGCCCCATGTACTGAGGCTAAAGTCTTCCAAGCGGGGGGCAGGGGTTCAAGTCCAACCTGTTGCTCCTTTCCTGCATGTTTAGCCCACTCCCTCTCCCCAATTGACTGCGCTCTACTGTCCTATCAAGTTGTGAAAAAATAATTTCATTACTAGGGGCCTGACTGTTTTGACTGACAGGTGGTCGCAGTGTAGCTGTTTGCCGGAGGGGTTTAAGACCCGCCTTAACTCCACCTCTTCTAGACTGTTTCTGGATTGATCAAAAAGTTAGGTGGAGATAGAATTTCCGATATGGCGACTGGCATCATTTGGCTTCATAATGCCTCTTCAGAACCCAACGGGAGACGTCACTGAGACTGCGTCCATGTTTTATACAGTCTCTGTTTTTATACATGTTTTATGTGCACTTACTGGAAATGTTAAAAGCAACCCTTCTTTCTTTTTTTTTTTTTTTATGGATGCCAATTGAGCAGAGCATTTTCATTATCACACACTATAAATAACTGGCTTATTTGCTTGTTTGCACACTTTGATTTGTACACTTTTACTATGTATTCATGCTATTTGGGGAACCCCCTCTCCTTGTATCCCAGACGACTCTTCCATAGAAAGCAATAAGTCTCAAACTTTCCAAACTCTTTCACCTTCCAGGTCACTCGTTCAGAGCACTCATAGTTCACCACACTGTACCATGATTGCCAGTGTGAAAGCACTTATGTACTCAGAATAGCATTTGCAAGAACAGAGAAGAACGATAATTGAGTCCTCGCCTCCCTGCTGTTTGCCTGAGCGAATAACGGAGAATACGCCTCTCAATGTTCTCCTTCAGACATGAACAATAGATAAACGTCTGCTTAAGGATCTCCATAGAGGCCTAAGATGTAAAAAAAAAAAAAAAAAAACTCATACCAATGAATTGGGCGCCATTTGGTGTGTTAAACCAAGACGTGCAACACACTGGAGCATTGTAATCCGTCTCATCTCAAACTTCAGGATACAGCGACACTTATGCTACACTAGGTATTAAGACGAGCAATCGCTTTATTTAGTGAAGGATCAAAAAACGACTTGGATTTTTATCCTGCATTCTGTACCCCCTCTTCTGTCTTCCTGTTATCTCTCTGTGTCTCATGCACGGTAACTATTGTGATAATCCTCGTTCATCTGTAGGTACTTTACAGTCTCCAGAGGTTCCAGAGCAGTAGGTCACTTTTGAACACTCAGTCAAGATATGCTGGCGTTTTTTCATCATGTATCCTCTCAAAATGCTTCATCATCCTTGCGGAGGCAGATAAGAAATCTATTTCTTAAACATCAGACACACTCATATACACACAGGCTGTAAACAAATTCAAGTTGTTTACCCAGAACTGTGTCATGTCGCTCTGAGGGTCCCTGTTGCCAACTTGACCTGCAATAACCTCCTTAAAATTCTGGATCAAAACTTCAGCGCTTGCCTCGCATACGCTTCTCGAAAGAGTAAACAAGTTCACAAAGTAGATGTAGCTGCTGAGACAGAATTTCTCTAGAAAAAAAAATCACACAGCTGACTGACAGTATGATCTTGAACATTTCACATTTAATTTCCTGTGCTGTGATGAGGGACGGTCGCAGCTTGTGTCTATATAGGGCTCTGGAGATTTGCATTTGTAGGGAAGCATGTCAGTGACTTCATTCAAAGTAGGGCTTATGAGATGGCCTCCTCTGATGCCCGGCTCTGATGCCCTGCTTACCCACTTGCATTGATGATGAGTCCGGCTGACTGAAAAAAAAAAAAACCAAAGACGAGGAGGGTTTTCACACATGCTGAGTGAAGCCAAAACCAAAGTGAAAAGCGGGTTCCACTGAGCCGCGCTGGTTTAGGGTTAGACATCAAAAAATAATCTGGGCCGTCGCTGTGCAGGTCAGTGCGGCAGAAAGAGTTCGCTTAATGGAGTGGAGAGGCTCATGGAGTGAAGTCCTGAATACTGGTGACTCATTTCCACGCACTAATAGGAAACCTTTAAGGTGATGTCCAGACACGGCAACAAGAAGAGATGAATCTACCTTTTTAAAATGTAATATCTACATTCTGACGCTCGCTGGATCGTTGCTTCAGCGATCAACATAAAAGAGAATCAAAGGGCTGCTCTGAAGCTCTCCCATGGGAGTCCTCACAGAGATTCAGAGCAGCTAAAAGGGGTTCTCAAGCAGACTTTCACCATGGATGCCACTTTTATCACACGCAGGAAAATCAGGGAGAAACCAGTTATTACCGCGTCCAATGAAACACGATAAGCATATCTAGCTTATTGCGCAAAACCCTGTAAAACCGAAAATTGCTTGAGCTTTTCCAAAATGGTTCTAGTTTCCAAACTCCCTCCCCTTCCTCCGCACGAGGCTGCCGAGGCTTTAATTACTTCTGCTGGGCCAGCATAGGTGAAGCACATTCTCACTAACAAGGTGGTTTTCCCAACCAGGGGGAGCAGTGAAACAAACCAACAGGAAAACAACATGATGGAGAGGGGAAAAAAAAAAAAACGCTTCCCCGCAACAGAGGGGTAACCGATGCTTATAATAACCCTCCGCCCAACTGATTTTCAGCAGTCGCCGTCCGCCGTTGTTACAGGAAGAAGAAACACAATCGCAGGTTGGGGAAGCAATCCAGGGGGAGAGATAGATGTGTCATCAGCCGACAATATGGTGTGAACTAGTTTTTCACACACTAGTGCACATACACGTTGGCCACGCCGCCCACATGTGTGCAAGCTATAGGAGACGCCTTTTAAAATGTCTCACGTGTCTGAGAGAGCGAGAGGTGGAGACACAGATTCTTAAAAAAGACATGCGAGTTGTAGCCATTCTGAGCTGGACACATCATCAGGTGTTCACAGGTCAAGAAGGAATTCAAGAGGAAGAAAAAAAAAAGAAAGTGTCTTAGTTTTTGTTTGTGTTTCAATCAATCTTTACATCTTTACATCATCAGATCAGGCAGTTAATGTATGCTGCCATCATCGTCTCTGCCCTTATTCTAGTAAGTCGGTCAGCAGCACAAACAGCAGCAGTGGTGTAACAGCACAGACTGGTGGAGAAGCGTTGTCATGACAGCTTGCTCCAGATGACAGAATCGCCTTAATTATACACATGCTGTACTCTCATCTCAGTCTTAATGAGAGGAATAAGAGAGAAAAAAAGGAATGTGTTATAACAGCTCATATTGTGTATTCTTTTCTAAAAATGCTTTTACTCTGTGATTTTAGTAATTGCTCTTATTTTTATTTTATTAGTCTGATTTTGTTGTCTGCTTGTTCACGCTCTGCCTGTTGCTTTAATTGTCTCTCTGCTTTTGTTTTCTGTTGTAAAGCACTTTGTTACTTGTATAGAAAAGTGCTCTACAAATAAACTATTATTATTATATTTAGATTGAAAGGTACTAAAAGGAAAATCTGGAGTAGCTGATTCACATTTCCTGCCGAGTGTCATTTGTTTCAGGCATCAAAGTTCAACACAGGACGCGTTTCAGAACCCAAAATAACTTCATCCGCCCCTCGTCCCCTGAGACCCCATCCTGATGTCACTCCACCGGCGGAGTGATTTCTCTTATTTTGCTTCCGCTCTCTCGCTGCGCTCTGATGCACTCCCTTAAATGGCATAAGAATTCAGGATAACAGCACAGGGTCCGCAGAAAGAATAACGATAACATCTGGATTTGTGTGTTTATATGCATGCGTGCAGTCTCCCTCTTTTTTTTTTTCCTACCAGTTCAAACGCCTCTTTTGCAAGTATTCACACGTGTCCTTGTGCGACCCCTTTTATCCGTCAGTGTGTGTGTGTGTGTGTGTGTGCTTATCTTTAACCGAGGTGTGTATGCTTTTTCCCACTCTGGTTTTCTCAGGCCCTCATCCCCCCTCACAGCCTGCATGGCTCGGAAAAGTAGCTTCAAAAAGCCTTAAAAGCCCCCAGTATAGGGAGGGGATCTGAACCGGGGTGGGATCTCTGTGTGACCTTAACATTTACTGCACATTAACTTTGTTTGTATGTCAGAGTGTTTGATCTGGGAAGCTGCTGTGTGAATACAGAAACACAGAGACACAAACACAAGGCGCCCAAGTTAAAAGAAAGAGCATGGCTTTAAAAGCAGCAGAGCTCTGAGAGGCTAATGCTCCATCCTAATCCCCTTTCCTATCTCTCCTCTCCTCTCCTCTTCCCTTCCCTCCTTCTCTCTCTCTTGCAGGAGAATTCTGGGGAGCTTTCTTACTCTTTCGATTCCTCAAGGATGAAGCAGAACAGTGGACCTGTGTTCTGAAACAGGTACGTTTCTGACACATCACGATGACCTTCAAACTAACACCTGCCCCCCCCCCCCCAACCCCTCCCCTTTGTGATCTAATCTGTGTGTGATTTATGTGGCTAAAAGGCCCTTCCATGTCTGCTGTGAAAAAAAAAACACAAGAGAGAGAGTTTAAAAGAGACAAAGAAAGAAATGGGATGGATGTTGCTTCTGAGGAAGAGAGAGAGAGGAGGCAGCACAAGGAGAGAAAGGCGCGTCCTCGGGGACAGACGGAGAGCGAGTGGAGACACAGTCGACAGGATGAACGACAGGATGAAAGTTTAACCAAACATCGGCTCCCCCCGCAGGAGCGGGCGAATCTGCAGTGGACAGATGGGGGGGGGGGGGGAGACATGCAAAGAGACAGCCGGGCAGACAGGACGAGAGGGAGAGAGCGGCGATCCCCAGCTGTTTTTTTTTAAAACGCTGCCTCTTGATACATTATTGAATATGCAGCTCTCCAACGCATCGCTGAGCTTTCCTCTCATGTTAGCGCTCAAGTTCGCATCGCGTCACCGTTCTAAATATAAAGCATTCGCTCACTCCTCTCTGGTTTGTTAAGAGATGCAGAGGCTGCACGTAGGCCGTGTGTGTGTGTGTGTGTGTGTGTGTGTGTGTGTGTGTGTGTGTGTGTGTGTGTGTGTGTGTGTGTGTGTTACTCTGAGAGGCACTTTCTCTTTTTCTCTCAGACCGGCTGGAGTTAGACTTTGAGTTAGTGTGTGACTCAATATTTGGAAGTAAGCCTCAGCGAACTTGCCAAAAACAAAAATAGATTTCCATCAAACTACTTTGAAAGTAGCGTCAGATGATGCGTGGAGTATACTGAAGCGAGCGCAGACTGCTTCACTGGGAGTCGCATGTGGTGTACAGTGAAGGAAGTGAGATGTTACAGAGGGGATTGATTTTTTTTCTTTGGATCAGACTGCATGTGAAGCTCTGCAGGTCTGTGAAGTGCGAGCAATAACTCTCTTTAAACCCCTCTTTTTTTTTTCCCCCAGCTTAATAAATCAGATTTTTGGTAGAGGTCAGTGTCCTCAGACTCTGTGCAGCACCAGCTCCGGCCTACAGGTGGCAGCAGAGCAACATACCCAGCAGACATGTTTCTGTAGCAAGACTAGGATTGGCCCCATTTTACCAGCACGTCCCCTCGTAGGCCTCTCTCCATTTATCTCCCTGTCTCACCCAAGACAAGCAAATGATTCCTCCTATAGCCAAGAAAGAAAGTGTGGGAAAACCCGATCAATATTAAGCCTTTTGTGTTCATAGATCATCGTGTGCAGATGTTTCAAACTCACATGATAAGTTTTTGTCTTTATTTCAGCTCCCACTTTCCAAACTTCATGTTCCAGGATGAACCATGAGCAAAGGTAAGGAACTTCTCTTTGACTTTTATTTCACCATGCGTGCCTCTGCAGAAGAGACTGAGCGTGTGCTGGAGAGGATTCATGGACACCTGGGTCCCAGTGCCGCTTGCTGCTGGCTGTGTGTGTGCGTGTGTGTGTGTGTGTGTGCAGTTGTTTTGAGGGTGTGTGTGTGTGTGTGTGTCTCTGCTCTCTGACAGATGTTGTAACGACATGATAAGCCCTCTGGCTGCCGGCGTCACCGTGTGAGGTTTCCATAGTGACTGTGTTGAGTGTTGGGGAGGCCAGAGTGGAATATGAGGGTGCTGAGCATGAACAGAGGGGGTGGAATAGGAAATGAAGTGCTCAGCGCCTCCGGCCTGTGTGTGTGTGTGTGTGTGTGTGTGTTTCTGTTTTCATGCACACGTGTGGGTGTGTTTGTGAGACGTTTATGTCTGTTTGTTTGTGTCTTTCCACAAAGAGCGTCGAATTGAAGAGACACTCATCTGTGTAATTGGGAATTTGATCAAGATAACGCACTCGCACACACAGTCAGTCAAACATGCATACACACACGCACTCAGACAGCAACGCACACACACCCGTCCAGTCTGCGTAGGAGCGACGAGAGACAGGGATGATGGCTGCGGCGTGGGCTGAGGGTAACCTCCTCTGCCTCGCAGACTAACACCATGAGTGTGGGTCGCTCTCGGTATCACTTATCACTTAAATTGCTGCGTCAATGGAGCTGTTGTGCAAACTGGTACGAGCAGGAGAATTGCCCTCTGCTATTGTGAGCAGAGAGACTGTGAAGCACTTAATGTTTTAAAGCACCATGCAGCTCCAGCAGCGAGGCTCAAGGCTGTGGTTTCTGATCATTTTTTGACAGTGTTCTGAGGACGCCTTCGCCAGCTTGAAGGACAAAAACCATAGACTGTATATACAGATGGACAACACGCCTCAACTTTCAACCTGTTGTGCAAAGATGAAGCCAAAATCCTCCAGTTATGGGCGCTGACATAATGCACATTTGGAAGCCTAAAAATTGTTTTACTTGACTCCAGACGAGGGGTTGCCCTTTCTGTTCTTTATACAGTCAAGACCCTCAAGACAAGGCTTCACAATAAACTTATCTATGTTCATTTTTTACAAGTCCAACATCATCGCCCCTAAGCCGAAATAAAAAAGAGAGAGAACTCTGACATGACTCTCAGTCAAACAGTGTGTTATAAAGGATGATAACTTTTAGAAAAACTGCTCTCCTCTGATTCTGTTACAATTATCTGAACTCTGAATATCTGCTGATTGAATTCCAGTGCTATCACCGTGGAAATGACTTTTATGTGAAAATACTCTTCACACAAACAGTTGGGGGACAGTATGAATAAAACCGAAAATTCAACTTTGATAATCCAGACATGAACAGCAGTTAGCCTCCAAAATTGTGGCCAAAAAAAATGTAAATGGCACAGCAGGTGATCCATTATAAAAACACATTCCTGTGAGTTTTAGTGTGGAGTATACATATTTGTAGTTTGTAGTGTTTTCACCACTGCAAATCAAAAATACTGATTATACAGACGGCCTGCATGTGTGAACGCAACCAACCCGACTTCACCTCAAGATTCAAGATTTGAGATGTAACATTACATTTCTGTCATTTTTCTTGTGTGTCTGCAGACATTAAAAAGACAAAATAAATGCTGTTTCCCAGCCCCCCCCAAGCAGTGTTACAGAATGGAAAACATCAATCAATCAATCAATTTTTATTTGTATAGCGTCAACTCATAACAAGTGTTATCTCGAGACACTTTACAAAGAGCAGGTAAAAGACCTTACTCTTTGTCTGTTAACATTACAAAAAGACCTTACTCATTGTTATGTTACAAAGACCCGGCCTATCCATCATGAGCACTTTAGCAAAGCAGCAAAAGCTACAGTGGTAAGAAAAAACTGCCTGATTAAAAGTCAGAAATCTTCAGCTGGATCCCCGGCGACGAAACAGCCTTCACAGGTCTAGACTGTGCCGGGCTTGGAAAGGGATAGGGGGAGAGATGGGATAGGGAGCAAGGGGGTGGAGGGGGGTGTTGTTCAGGCAAGCCGTCCATCAACAATCCGGTGGAGGGGGGACACATAAATATACCTGAAAAATCTAGGGTAAAACAATTACAATAAAAATAGCACAGAAAGTAGAAAAAACTAAATACCTTAAAAAGTGCGGACAATAAATAGCACAGGCAGCGTTCAGTTAGCACCACAGTCATTCAACTAGTGTCTAAAGAGCAGTATATTTAAAGTGCTAGTGCAGCAAATGCCCCTCTGGCCGTGGATTTGACATACTGTGGGTTTAAGAGAACATTAACCAGGATATTTAGACCCTTATGGAGACAGTGGGGATTGTGACATCGTTAATAAAGTTCATTATCAGCATTATTTCCTCGTAGTCATGAGAGTTAAAAAAAAAAAAAGTTTAAAACGTCCAATAATAACAAACACCTCCCTTACATTTTTTAAGTTTTTGACATTTTTTAGGATGCATCTGATAATTGTTGGTATTGTAATGGGAACTCTCCCGCCTTGTCTTCCTCCTCATCATGACATCATAGTGACATCACCTCTCATATCACATTGTACTGCACATTGGGATGAACACTATGTGATTGATCTTTTGTTGTTGCCTCTGTCCTAAAAGGAAACAAAGTGTAACTACATGTAGGTCAAGATAATGCACTGACATGTCCTCTGCTCTGAGCCGTCTCATGCTGGAGGGATCGGAGGTCGGTTTGCCATCGCCTGGATTTGACTATCAGAGAGACAACTGTTGGCTCGATGTTGGACTTATTGAAGTCAAATTTCCAGAACAATATCCTGAGTCTCTTAAAGCCTGATAAAACCTTGATTTCTCCTGTGTGTGTGTGTGTGTGTCTGTGTGTGCACATGTTGATTGGCCTCGTGTTTGTTATGCATGTCTTCCGAGAAGACGAGCGTTAAGTAGAACAGGAACTAAAAAAAAAAAAAAAAAACAGTATCAAATCGAGAATGCAAATGTATAAGAGTAGGAAGCAGGAGTATTTAAAAAAACATGCGACAGGGTGCATCAAAGTTTTAATATTTTAATCACTGAGGTGAAAAACATCCTGTCAGGGGCTGTGACTGAGCTGATGCGTTCCCCAGGGGGGCCACCTTAAGTGAACTGATCTCATTTTAAGTAGCAATTTAAATCCCTCCCCCCCCCTTCCCTGAGGCTTTCGCTGCTCTCACACACAGAGACAAACAATCCTCACGCTTGTCTCCTGAATCTGCCTGTTTTTTTTTGTTTTTTTTTTGTTTTTTATGCAACAGTCATGACGAGAGATATAATGTTGCATGCAGCGCACAGGGCCCCGGCTTCACACAGGGATTACACCTAGATGATTCTTCAGTTGAGAATTTAGACGAGCCTAATCCGCGCCCCGTGGAAGCGGACCGCGGCGGCGGCGGTGGCCAGATATGACGGAGAACAGAGAGCAGCCAGATTAGTTCATACGAGGCAGAGGAGCTGAGCCTGACGGAGCGTCTCCTGACAGCTCCTCCCAGATCTCTCCACTTCTCTCTAACGCAGGCTGAGGGAAACACTGTTCCCCTTTCAGTCCATCTCACTCTCTGTTTCTTTTCTACCGCTCCCCGTCCCTCTGTGTGCGGGAGTGTGAGTGTGTGTGTGTGTGTGTGTGTGTGTTATCGCTTCATTAGCCTGTAGATTTCTGGGTCATTCATAGCCTTGTTCCCACTGTCTCAGAAGCTTTAATTACCCTCACATGAGTCACATCTGATAATTAGGATGGTCCGAACAGGACACACACAACTGCTCAGGCTTACACGTGTAACACATACGCGCACGCACACACACACACACACACACACACACACACACACTCACACACACACACTCACACACACACATCAGTCATTAGTGGAGAGTTTAACATGCAGTACAGTGCTAATGGGATTATCATTGCTGAGGGTCCTGCTCATCAACCTCTTACTCCTCTCTCTATTCATCATCGAGCACTATTCTTAAATACTGAGGACATGCCTGTACATGATCTCTCTCTCTCGCTCTCTCTCGCTCTCTCGCTCTCTCTTTTTATTTAATTATTCACTCATTAAATGTTTATTGGTACAGGGACAAGTAAAGAAAGTAAACCTGTCCCTGGTCGAACTTTTAAAACACATAAAAGTCAACAACAAACAGAACAAACCCAGCTCAACAATAAGACACAGAACTATACAAGATACTAAATGTCATAAAAAAACACTGAAAAACAAGCAGTGCAAGATCATACACCAATAAAAGAGTGAGTCCTCGGCGGGCATGGGGGTGGCCTATAGTGGTTAGGGTGTGCGCCCCATGTACGGAGGCTGTAGTCCACCAAGTGGGCGGCCCGGGTTTGAATCCGACCTGCATAAAAAGCCCCAAAAGAAACAATTTTATCATCAATAAAAAAAGACTGAGGCCTTTTTAAAATCTATTCTTTTCTGTCTTTCTTTCTCTTTCCTTCCTTTCTTCCTTCCTTCTTTCTTTCCTTCTGTCTTCCTTCCTTCTTTTAATTTAATTTATTATTATTCTTCCTTCCTTCCTTCTTTCTTTCCTTCTGTCTCCCTTCTTTCCTTCCTTCATTCTTTCTTTCATTCTCTCTTCCTTCCTTCCTTCTTTCTTTCTTTCTTTCTTTCTTTCCTTCTCTCTTTCTTCCTTCCTTCCTTCCTTCCTTCTGTCTTCCTTCATTCCTTCATTCCTGTGTCTCCTTGCCCCCCTCCATTGTTACAGTGAAAATGCTCTTAAAGCATGACCACATCTGAGGGCAGTCTCAACGGGGCACCGTGGTGGCCTGGAGGTCTAAGCTGCTGACCATGAAATTCTGATGTTCCTGGTTCAAGTCTGTTGACACCGATTACACGTCCCGTCTCCACCTGCTCCTCTCTGCTTTGGACTCTCAAGAACACAACTTATCTGAGAACATCTTAAATCAAACAGACTGTAATAGATCACC